ATAATGATTTGTGAGCGCAAGATAGAAAGAAGGATAATCTTTACTTTCGTATTTTTTATTAACTAATAAATTTTTGCTGAAAGAGTAAGAAGGAAATTTAAGCATAGAAAATTAAGGCAACTTATAGCACTTAATAGAATTTTAAACTGACATAGTTAACTAACAAAGGTCATTAATAAATCATTTTTATAAAGTTTTTACTGGTATTTTTTCACTAAATATATTATTCACTATATTTTTTTCACTAAAGGTATAATCTAAAAATGTTTAGAAAAAGGAAGCTACGTAACTGCATGACCTTATCCATAAAAAATTGCTAATTATGAGTTTTCTTCACTTTTGTCAATCTAACTAACACTCTTATTATGAAAATTATTTCTTGTTCTGCTTCAGTTTACTCTTAAGTATTAAGTTTCCTTCTTACTTTTTCAGCAAAAGTTTATTAGTTAATAAAAATATGAAAGTAAAAGTTATCTTTCTTTCCATATATCGCGATCACATCACAAATCATTATGGGAATATCCATTTACAATTATTAAAGCCTGAAAAAAGCAGGTCTGCGATGTTATCGTCCTGCGATGATTTGTCGATACTTTATTTTTTACCGCGATGCTTTTAAACTGCGAAGTTTTTGAACCGCTTTATTTTCGACGACGATATTTTGTACCACGATGTTTTAGAACTGCGATGTTTCCTCTTTGCGATGTTTTCTCCCTCGATGTTTTGTAGCACGACGTTTTCGCCTTGCGTTGTTTTCTCCGCGACGTTTTCGCCCGCGATGATTTTGCCGCGATGTTATCGGCGGACACCCTTTGAGGCTATCTGATGGATTCTCTCGATTAACCCGATTATTAAGATTTGTGCTATGTTTTGAAGTCTTATCAGCACCTCAGACGTGCATTCTCACGCACTGCAAAGGAACCTAAAAAGGGCTTCTTTATTTTAATAACTGTGTAGCTATAGCTATTTGTAACTCCTGTTTATTCGGTAGACTAGGAATCAAAGCAGGACTGAAAACTGAAAATCATCACCATCATAATGAGACAACAATTTATTTAGCTTTCAAAACGTAAGCAACATACTGTATATCAAATACCTGCAAACGCTAAATAAATGTCTACGTAAATAAAATGTAAATATATGTGTAATAAATGAGCTTTATGTAAATAAAATTGCAGCAAATAGCAAGAAATCCTGCATTTAAGAACTGTAGCGATTATTGTTAAGTTTTGCCTACAGTTAAACTTAATTTAAACACTTTCGTATATTCTCTTTGATTTACGTCACATATATTCGCTGAGACCCGATATATATGTAATAAATGAGCTTTATGTAAATAAAATTGCAGCAAATAACAAGAAATCCTGCATTTAGAAAACAAATAGCAAGAAATCCTGCATTTAAGAACTGTAGCGATTATTGTTAAGTTTTGCCTACAGTTAAACTTAATTTAAACACTTTCGTATATTCTCTTTGATTTACGTCACATATATTCGCTGAGACCCGATATATATGTAATAAATGAGCTTTATGTAAATAAAATTGCAGCAAATAACAAGAAATCCTGCATTTAGAAAACAAATAGCAAGAAATCCTGCATTTAAGAACTGTAGCGATTATTGTTAAGTTTTGCCTACAGTTAAACTTAATTTAAACACTTTCGTATATTCTCTTTGATTTACGTCACATATATTCGCTGAGACCCGATATATATGTAATAAATGAGCTTTATGTAAATAAAATTGCAGCAAATAACAAGAAATCCTGCATTTAGAAAACAAATAGCAAGAAATCCTGCATTTAAGAACTGTAGCGATTATTGTTAAGTTTTGCCTACAGTTAAACTTAATTTAAACACTTTCGTATATTCTCTTTGATTTACGTCACACATATTCGCTGAGACCAGAAGGCTATGCAAATGAAAGCACGCCAAAGAGAGTTACGGTTTAGCAAAACTTAACTGAAACTCATGGCTAGGATAGAAACGAACTTCCCAGCCGTTCTAATAGTTAGCGTTCGATCTGTTTGAAAAACTGTTAGTACTTTTTTTGACGCCGCGTCCATTCTCGTTGCCGCTCAAAGTTACTAAATGACGCCTTTTCGTAGCTGAGGATAAAACCACGTGTTTTATTTAAAAAAAACTGAGTTTAATAATTATAAATTTCGAGTCAGGATATGCAAAGTGTTAAAAGTTAGTGTCGATAGGTAATCGAGATTTTAGTTTGTAAGCAATTTAAAAACAAAAAAAAAAAAAAAAAAAAAAAAAAAAAAAAAAAAAACTGAAATGTTTCAGATTTTAAATTACGTCCAAAGGGGCGTTTTTTTAACGTTTTGAGTGTTACCTTTATTTATTAAATATCATGTTCTTTGCACTTAAACCATAAAATTAAGTTCAAGAGCAATATCGCAAAATAATGTTAAATTAAGCATATCTTTAGAATTTCCGATATACACAGTCTCGCGAGCTAGAGATAAAAGTATTTTTTTTTTCTATATAACGTTTGCCATTTCTCGCTTTTAAAGCATTGAGTTTGTAAATCAAAAATTCGTTAAAGTTTTACAAAATATAAAATCTATAATAAAACAAATTCCAAATTTGGGATTTCAGATGCCCATATTCGCAGTAGGATTTCGTCATTCAAAATTCGATGGCTCTATGTACCATTGTTTTATCACAATGCGAGAAATAGACAATCATTTATGCAGATTTTTCATTATTTAATTTCTTCAAATATAATGCAGGATTCTAACATTTTGTGGCAACAGTTTGAAAAGTGAACCGACGTTTATGAGTCCGACGCAAAATCGCAAAACGAAAACAATAGTCCTTCAGGGACAAAGCCCCTTTGGACTAATAAGGAAAGAAAATCTGAAAGGTTTCAGATTTTAAATTACGTCCAAAGGCGCATTTTTTAACATTTTGTACAGCAGTATCGCAAAATATTTTTTAAATTGAGCCTATCTTTAGAATTCCCGATGCATAATCTCGCCCGCTGGAGATAAAAATATTTTTTCTGTACAACGTTGCCATAGCTCGCTTTGAAATCCTCGAGTTTGTTAATCAAAAATTAGTTAAAGATTTACAAAATATGAAATCGATAATAAATCAAATTCCAAATTTCAAATTTGGCTTTGAGATGCCCCTATTCGCAAGTAGGATTACGACATTCAAATTTTGATGCCTCTAAGTACCGTTGTTTTTATTACAATGCGAGAAACATACATACATTTATGAATATTCTTCATTGTTTAATTTCTTCAAAAAATAATACAGGGCGATAATATTTGGTGGCAACAGCTTGGAAAGTGAAACGGACATTCAGAGTGATTCGACGCAAAATCGCAAAATAAAAATAATAGTCCCTCAGGGACAAAGTCGCTTTGGGCTAAAAAAAGTTGTAAATTAACTGCAACCTGCTAGGAAACGACAAATAATATATTTTTTGAATTTATAGTTAAGACAATAATTCGCCGACGTTTCAAAAACAGTTCTTAGTAAGCTGTAATTAATTGAACATAATAGCTTAATAGTTTAGAACGTAATAGTTTTAAAAAGAGCTTAAGTAGTAGAGAGTTACAAATTTAGAAGCCATGACAAAGTTTTGAAAAAAGAAGATCAAGTATCGAATAAATGAGATCCCCTTTCAATAAGAAGGATCTTACAGTCTTAGAAGTTAGCAAAATCTAATAAAATATACAGTAAATGATGTGAATACTAATGAAATTTATTCATTCAGATCTAGCATTTCTTCTGAAAGAGTAACATTCATTCACTCTTAGCCTTTTTATTCTCAGCATCTATTTTACTAGATTTTGCGAATTTCAAATTCTTGTCTGAAAATTACGGACAAGATTATTTAAAGAACACTAACTTTTGCTGAAATCATTTCGACAGACGAAAAATCTTTAAAAACATATTACATTGTATTATAAAGTTTGCGAAATTTTATCGTAATTTATCATTTACAGATTTTCACAGAAAGAACGTACCGTACCTAAGAAATAAATATTTTGAACGCACATGTCACATTTTTACTTCCTTGTACGAAATAGAGGAAGTATTGTAATCGCAAAAAGTTTTGGGTGCCATATTTCAGCAGAAATATCCATTTTTACCTTTACCGAATCGATTTGAAGGATTTTTTTTGCTTGATGTCTGTATGTATGGATAGAATAAAGGACTCGGTTTTCCAAATCGGGTTGTAAAATGGACTTAAAATGGATTCAGAAGGGATTTTTTTGTGACGTCTGTGCAGTTATGCGAGATAATATACCTACGTACGTATGTACGAGATTCGTATAGGTCAAAAACGATTAGATAATATACCTACGTACGCATGTACGAGATTCGTATAGGTCAAAAACGTTTAGACGTAGAACGTTGAAATTTTAATTATGGAACTGCTATAACATCTAGTTGCTCATCTCCCTTATCGTTGGTCATAGTCATATAATTCCGATCACAGAAGTGTTTTAAATGATGAAAATATTAAAATTTAAAAACTGCAAATTAAAAAACATATTTTTCCAGAAATAATGAGATCTAACTTTTAATGCGATATCACAGTTCCTATAGTTATATCTGGGAAAGTTTTATACTCGTTGAGAAAAAATAAAATTATAAGAAGTTTGACAAACGTACGACAAAAATTGACTGAGGTATTTAAATTTGCACTTTTTGATGTCATTTTCAACTTGGATGGAGAGATCGTAGTTTGAGTAATTCCAGAAAATAAATTTAAACGAAGTGTAGCAAAAAATGCGTATAATTAAATAGGCCGTACAAGGAAGTCATGTCGCGTTGACATCAATTTTTTTCTTTTTATGGTAACAAATCCTCTGCTGTTTTGATTACGGGAAAAATATAAAACCGCTACAGGATTTAACCAATGTAATTTCATTATAAACGAACATCTCGAAAATGCGCGTAGATTCCAAACAACTGCATTACTTAGAAAGAAAAGGAGAAATAAACGGAAAAAACCACTTGAAAATCTTACCGAGAAACGGAGCTTTTCGTAAACGTTGGGTTTTGTTATCCAGAAGAGGGTTTTCGTAAACGATAACACAGCTTTCGACGTGGATGCCAGAATAAGACTAAAGCGGCAAACGGAACAAAAAGCTAACTTTGGAGATGGGTTGCCAAAGTTAAACACAACTTCGAGTGCCAAAAGTTTATCCAAATCGCCAAAATACGAGGCGGTTGTCCTGAACCTCTCCACATTTCGAAGATGGGAAGTGTTTGAGAAAATACAGTGCTGGAGAAAATGGACGAGAGACACATTTTTCGTACCTTGTCCATAGACATAAAAGCGAATATTTTACCATTCACTCGCATCTGAAATTACGTAGTGGAATACAATAACTCTTTGCCTACATACAACTTTGTAAGATGTTCATGATAAGATGCCTAGTACCAATTGTGAATGCTAAATTTTCATTTTTCACGTAGAAATATAGGTGACCATGCGCTGTTATATAAAAAATCTGATGTGTACACCACATGACTTGCTTGTACGGAATATTAAATTATACACATTTTTCGCTTTTCACTTAAAGTTATTTCCTCTAATTTCATCAGAGATACATTTCTTATTCAATTTATTCAGTTCGCACTTCGCAGCAAGGCAAAAATACATAGAAAATCAAAATATTTTCAAAAATTGAAAAATATAGAAAAACCTAAAATACCAAATACGGTTAAAATAACTTTAGAAAAAAACAATTTTTACAATCAAAATTACAGTTTCTACGGAAAAACAAACAATTCGACGAGAAGGCATGAATGCAGGTTTTTCGGTGTACAAAACTTTCGTTTTGGTGCCACTCGGCAAAACGACACTGAAGGTGCAGAAACTGACTTAATTCACTATTCTGCTAAGTTACACAAATATGGCTGCTATGGTAAAAAAATTAGGCTTAGCCGCACTTAAACAACTTTTAAATTGTTGATAATTTTACAACTATTGCATGCAGGATTAACTAAAGACATAAAAATCTCAACCGAAAGATAAGAACAACATAAATAAATCATTTTTAAAGCAAAAAATACACAATTGACCAACATATAAGAATTTAATATAATATATAATAATAATAAAATTTTAAAAAAATTGAGATCTATGAGCTAAGTAACTGAGTGGATCTACATATAAATATATATTTATCTACTTTTAGGTGCGGCTGATTGCAACCAAAATAAGAGGTACACAATTACATGTTATAGCAGTCCTATATACAAAATGTTAACATTCTGAGGCCACTCATTTCTGAGTTATGCGAGATACATACGTACGTACTGAAGCCACGAAAAAAATGTCTTCTGAATCCATTTTAAATCAGTTTTATAATTCGTTTTGGAAAGAGAATCCTTAGCGGTCAAAATGGATATTTTCGTTGAAGTATGAAACCCGGAATTTTTCGTGATTACAATAGTTCCTTTAATTAGAACAAGGAACATGGAATCGGTTGGAACACATCATTTATCATCATTAATCACCTATTTTTGTATTAAATATTTGGTGAATGTTTTATTTAAAAGGAAAATAATAAATTGCTTTATTGAGGTAATTAGAAAACGGTTAGCATTTTCATCCTAAATTTAATATTTTTTATATACGTTTTGTATTCTACTACGTTCAACTTCAGATCTAATGCATTTTTTCTTGCCATTAATAAACGTAGAAGTAATATGGTATAGATACACATATGAATTTATGCCTCACAGTAATACAGTATGATTATATAACAAATAAAATAACTTTTAACTGCACTCACTACAAAACCTCTAATCGTGGCACACTTCCCTTCATAAAGCTCACCCTGCCAAATGTAGTAAATCTAAATTTTAATTATTAGTTTGGGTTGGAAATTTTCTTCGTTTTTACTTCCTTGTACAAAGTAAAGCAAGTGTTATAATCGCACCGAATTTCGGGTATCATATTTCAACGAAACTATCCATTTCAACCGTTCTGGAAACCATTTGAACGATGTTTTCGCGTTAAATTCCTACGTACGGACAGAATTAAGGACTGGATTTGCGAAACTTGATTGTAAAATGGATTCAGAAGAGTTTTTTTTTTGCCTTGACGTCTGCACGTACGTATGTATGCATCTCGCATAACTCAAGAATGAGCTGCTGGATTGCTACAACATTTGGCTTGCTACAACATACAGGATTGCTACAACATCTAGTTGTGCATCTCCCTTTTTCGGTGCAATCGGCTGCACCGATATTATATAAATATATATTACCACTCTGTTACCTGGTTGGGTGTGCTTAGTTTTTTTTATTCTTATGTGTTGGTAAATTGTGCAATATTTGTTTTAAAAAGTGATTGAATTACGCGATTTTTATGTTTCGGTTAGGATTTTATGCTTTTAGTTAATCTGCATGCAATAGTTGTAGAATTATCAACAATTTACAACATCAACATGATGTTTATCAAAATCAAGTGGCAATATAAGCCTAACGAACAACATTTGTTTACATTTGAAACCCAGTAGGATAGTGAATTAAGTCAATTTCTGCACCTTCAATGTCTTTTGCCTATGAGGACCAAAACTTTCGATTTTGTGCACCGAAAAATCCGCTTTCTCGCCCGCTGGCTGAATTGATTGTTTTTGCGTAGAAACTCGAACCTGGACCTCTCGAATACGGGAGGAGTGTGCTAACCATTACACAACGAAAGAATGCAGAGAGGAGGGAGAAAATATACTTCCCCTTTTAAAAAGCGACTGGGAATTAAGGCACCCAGTCGCCAAATCCAGGTGGTGAAGAATCATCATCCACCACCATTTAGAAAAATAATGCCAGCATTTTCCCTATTTCGTTTCTACGCCTTAAATTATTCCAAGCTGCCAAGTTTTGTAAAAATCGCAAGAGAAGTTTTTAAAAAATTAGCTCTCAAAGTTTTAGCTCCTGCATGTTAATTAAATTTGGTATATATTTATTAATATCTTTTTTATTAAATCCATATGATTCTTCCTTTCAAATTTCGAAATTTACGTTCATTCCAAATAAAATTCACCAATTTTTTATGATTTATTATTTTTTTTTTTAATTTTTGTATCATTTTCAGCTGGCGGGTTTGCCCGCTATATTATATTTCATAAATTTTCGAAAAAAATTTTTAACTATAACCTATAAAAATTTTACCATCGTCTTAAAGAAGATGTATTTCGAAGCATACCTTCAAAAAATTACTTTTTTATTCAAAATTTTCTAAGATATAGGTGATTTGACATTTCGGTGCGCTTTGAAATTTTGCATATTTGTTATAAGCGATAATAACGCTGAATGTGGTTTAGACACTTTGTTAAAATTACTTGAAAGTATAAAAGATGGCCTTTTTTCCCGCACGTATACAATGAAGAAAAGGAAAGGAAAATAGGTTGCTGTAAATTAAGAAGTTTTACATTTTTCCATAAATTTCTCACCAAAAATTAAAAAAATTAATATCTAGGCATAATTTGGCTCGTAGAATCGAAATATAGAAAAACATTAGCCTGTTATTTTAGAAAAAGTTCGATTTTGTGTCAAAATACCTATGTTAGAACAATGCTATTATAAATCTAATATCCCAAGTCGTGCTTTCGAGACATAGACAATACAGTTCGAATTTCGTCAATCGGAGCAGTAGAAGGGGAGATATGGAACTGTACCCCCCCCCGCAGTGTACAAAGGATATTTGAAAATTTGTAGAATCTTTTATTTGTTATAAACATATGAGCAGTAATTGTACATTTAAGTAGAAGAACGCGTTTTCAGCTGAGTACTTAGAACGACTGCAAAGTTAATGTAGTGAAGATATTTTTTAAATGCTTTTACTCTAATTATAAATACTATTTTGATATCAAAAAGAAGCTTAGTATTTTGTGACCAGAATAAAAAATAATATATTGCATCCAGTACTCAAAGCTGGCTGTTCTTCATGTATGTGAACCTAAAGAATTATGAAAAATCAATATAATTTACTTGTAAAGCAAATTTTGTGTCTTTTCAGCAACTGGAATCATAAAGCAATCATTTTATGATATGCGTTTGTGATACTAAATGTATTTAAATATTGTATTCATGTGTACTTGAGAAATTGAATATAAATGCAACACCAATAAAAAACATCTCATGCAGATAGCACACGACAGCCTTTTAAATTATACACATTCTTTGCTTCACTTCATTTCAAATCATTTCCTCGAATTTCGTTAGAGATATACGTATTTCTCATTCAATCAATTTAGTTCTCACTTCACAGGAAAGCAAAAATGCATAAAAACTCAAAGCATCTTCGATAGAAATTGTAAAATACAGAAAAACCTAAAACGCCAAATACAGTTAAATAAGGTAATTTTTACAATTAAAACTAGAGTTTTTCGCAGAAACAAGCAATTCAGTCAGAGCCCAGGAAGACAAAATTTTCGATGCACAAAATTGACGGTTAACTTTTCATCTCATTGGGCAAAATGACACAGATCCTTAATTCACTATTTTACTAAGAGTTTCAAATGTAACCAAACTGCAGTCACCTTAGCAACTTAAAGCAACTAGAGCAACTTAAAGTTTTAAATTGTTGAAAATTCTATAACTAGTCATTAGGATTTTTGAAGTAAAAAACACGAAACCTGAGCAATGTCCTAGCCGGGCCTTGAACCTGGACCTCTCGAATATGCACCGAGTGCGCTATCGTTACACCACGAAGGCATACAGAAAGAAGGGAGAAAATAGTTTACTGCTGATACTGATACTTTATTAAACGCAGATTAACTAAACACATAAAAACTTCAACTGGAACATAAGAACAACATAATTCAACCACCTTTAAAGCAAAAAATGCACAATTTACCAACACACATGAATAAAAACTAAGCTCATGGAGCCGGGTAGCAGGGTGAGAACATATATATAATATAAACGAATTTAGGAGTAATAAACAGCAGAAATTTTGATAGCGTACAAATGTTGATCCGTAATGAAAAAGGAAGTATTGTAATCACGAAAAGTTTCACGCATCATATTTCAACGAAAATGTCCATTTACACCGCTATCGAATGCAATTTAACGATGTTTTTGCCTGACATCTGTACGTAAGGACAGGATAAAGGACTCTTTTCCTCAAAAAAATTCTAAAACTAATTTAAAATGAA